AAAAAAGGGGGAGCTTGATCTACTCAGGTCGAGGTGCAGTAGGCCTTGTGGCCGCCCCTTTTATCCATATCCTTACTATCACGGCTAATATTGTTTATCACATCATTATATTTATGACAAAACTATGCCAAAACACCGGAATTAAAAGAAAAATAGAATAAGAATATATTCGTCATAAATTTACAGACATAGTAGCTATAAAAACGGGTCGTTAACTTGAACCTGAGGCGGAAACGATGAATCGTTTTTACCCGATTAAGAATAGGTAATACGTAATTGACACACAGGCACCTGCTTCTGGGCCAAACGCTAAGGCTTAGTGTCTACAAATGTGAAACAAGAAAAACAGTTCAAAACCACTGTTTCAAAACACTCTCAGGCTTTTATAACAGATTGTGAGAGGTTTTTGAACGCATTCGCCCAATTTGACCAGTATGTTTCGAACAATCTAACATATTGTGTTCGAGCTCATGAGGATGGCTGATGTAGAATAGATACACCTAACAGTTTCTATGATTTTCTCTGAGTCATGTTATTATTGTACTTTTTTGATATGCCACCACTATGGAAACAACGATTTCCACCATGGCTTTAACCCGAATTTTTGTGTCCTGAACAGGAATAGGAATAGAAAGAAATTCCCCCTCGTAAACAGCCCGTTTAGCAAGATCATTTACCCTCGAGTGTCCTCCCACCCAGAAAAGTGCATTTTTTATCCCTTTACTTTTTTCCAGACCATGTTCATAATTGACAACCAAAATGATTATAACTTCTCATGAATTTAATATTTATATTTATTGAACTAAAGTTAACATTTATTAGTTATTAGCAACGTTGTCTAAACAGGGGGAAATTTAGTACCGCATAATTTTGCCTTTAATTAACTAACAATAGTTGCACGTTACAACATGGATTATATGTATAACCCGGATAGTTGTGGTGAAAGCAGACATGGTCGTATATAAATCCACTCTTGTATATTTAGATAATTGCAATAGTAATCTTAGTCGGACGGGTCGGCCATATTCGTCGCAGTCACAATACCAAAATAGATGTTTACGACTTGTTTATCGTGTCAGATGCGATCCCGGTTTCCGTGGGAAAATAATCTTTGGGATAAAACCTGGCATCTCCGTGAAATTGTTTGTCTTCTTTTCGACCGAGTTCACCCGTCCAAACTTGGTACCGGGTACGATCCGAAATATTAAACGTCAGGTGTCTCCCGTGTTAAATGTATTGAAAGTTGATCTGGTTCCATAAGCGACCGCGGATCGGGAATTCATCGGGCGGACAAACGGGCGATAGTCGCTTTGAATCTAATCGTATTAAAACCTCGTAATTTCCCTCGGCCGAGTATTCAAAAACGTGAGATAAGCTCCACGTCATTCTCTGGCCAATACACCCGATCCCTGTAAATTTATATAACGAGTTATCTTCATACGCTTACATTTTTCATGAGGTCTGAACGAGATTCCGTCAAATTAGGCTTCTCGCTGTGAAAACTCAGTTTTCTCCCTGGAAACGTCAAACAAACAAAAGTTAGCTTTTGTAGCTAGAATTTCAGTAATTATATGCACTATTATTTTGACAGCTTTCGTAGACAATTTTACCAGCTGCATTTTTTTAAGTATATAATTTTAAAAAACATTAGTGTTTCTGACAAATTTCAAGGACCTAAGATAACAAAAGACTGATTCAATTATTCTCAGAATTGATTGTCTAAACTTGTTGTAACTTTTGATTTTTGTTTTATTCATTCATTCACAAGAAAAATGTAATAAAATTGCTCTTAATGGTTATGTACACGAAATGACGAACTGTTCTGTACTGATATCGTATATATATATATATATATATATATATGTGTGTGTGTGTGTGTGTGTGTGTGTGTGTGTGTGTGTGTGTGTGTGTGTGTGTGTGTGTGTGTGTGTGTGTGTGTGCATATCTCTCTCTATCTATCTATCTCTCTATCTCTATCCCTCTCTATCTATCTATCTCTCTATCTCTATCTCTCTCTATCTATCTATCTCTCTATCTCTATCTATCTGTATCTCTTTCTAGTTTTGTCAACGTGTTTATTTGCCCATATATCTGTCTGTTTTTCTGTTGTCTAAACATTCAGTTGATCCCACACCCTTGTTCACTTATTTCCTCTCTTTTCTTATTCATGTGTTTGTCCATGTGGGTGTCTGGCCTTTCTATTTTTCTGTCTACATTTATATTTATCTGTCTTCTTGTCAAAAACCTTGGATTTTATATACACACACTCTCTGTCTCCTCTTGTCTAAACTTTCAATTAATCCCACTTCCTTGTTCACTCATTTCTTCTCTTTTCTTATTCGTTTGTGTGTCCATTTGTCTATTCGACTTTCTTCCTCTTTCCCACACACTTTTTCTCTATGTATGGGTGTCTGCTTGCTTTCTGTTGTTCTGTCTACATGTATATTTCTCTGTCTTCCTGTCAAAACCTTGGATTTTATATACACTATCTCTCACACTCTCTCTCTCCCTCTCTCACACCCTCTCTCTCTCTCTCTTTATCACGCTCTCTCTCTCTCTCTCTATATATATATATATATATATATTTATATATATATCTTTCCCTCTCTTTTTTATATCTTTGGTGGTTTCTTTATTGCCTGCCTATCTCTCTCACAAGAAATACACTCTCTCCCTCCCTCTCTCTCTCTCTTTCTCTCTCTCTCTCTCGCTCGCTCGCTTTCTCACTCACTCAAACAATCAATCAGCCCCTCTACCTACCTTCTCAATCCGTCTATTTATTCTCTTTTTCCTTCCCTCTCAATTATTCTTTTTCATCTCATTGTCAGTTTGTATCTATCTGAATCACTCTCTAACAAAACATACACACTCTCTCTCCTCTCCCTTCCCTCTCTTTCTCTCTCTCACTCTATCTCTTTCTTTCTCTCTCTTTTTTATATCTTTGGTGGTTTGTTTATTGCCTGTCTATCTCTCTCACAAGAAATACACTCTCTCCCTCCCTCTCTCTCTCTCTCACACTCACTCTCTCTCCCTCTCTCTCTCTCTCACTCACTCTTTCTTTCTCTTTTTTTAATCAAGAACATGACTATATCATAGAGTGTTATCTGAATCATTTACCCGTTGTAACCAGGAAATTGCGAAAAATACAACATATTATACATATAAAAAGGACACAATTTTCGGTGGTTATTCTTTAGCTCACAGTGCGTCATTTAAGCTCTGTTTCACTAGGCTTTGTACGATTTATGAGTCTTTTATGAATTTCATAACCTTTTCCGGCTCCGGTGACATTATTTCTTACATGGTCGTGTAATAACAGCCGAAATATTTTCTGAGGAAAAATGTTGTACATCACTCGTCTAGAAAATCTATCAGGATTTCTTCCTCTTGGTAGAATCGGGTCTCATTTTTCTTAGTGAGATTTCTTTTTCCTAATCATTTCTCACCAGTTATATATTTATATATNTATAAAATATATTTTGCATTGTATAAATTCACTTATCCACATCCTAAATGTATTTGTTAAATGTAAACATTGTTTGTAAATCCCAGGCCCTGAAGATGATCTCAATAAAAGATCGAAACGTTGGCACGATAAAGAAAATGTTTTTCTGAAACCTACATCACACCCGACCGCATCTCACGATATCTGAATAACTATAAATTTTTAGTAAACAAGGAACACATTTCTTCTTAAGGAATAAACAAAAAAGAGAGAAAAAAACTGTACAAGTAAACTAAAATAACAACATATCTATTTATGCACATTTAAATAACCAGGGTGTCTCTGATATATACAGTAAACATTTAATAACTGAAATAAAAAACAAGCATTTCCCTGTAGTTCCAGGCTTCCATCGCAAACTTTACCAGATTTAAATACTCGGGGTTATTTAATAAAGAGTTTAGGTGCTCTCTCGTCAACGTGGGCAAGCCTATGCTCGGAATTCCGCTAAAACTGGGCATTCTGCTAGAAAATGAAAACAATCTTCTCGAGCCTGCCTGTTGCAGAGAGAGCACCTATCGGAACTATTGTCTCTGGTGGGGTTATAATTAAGGTACAGTAACTAGCACCTAATTTTGAAAAATCAGCGAGCTAGCGGAATGGACGGAATTTTAGAATTTTGCGCTATATTCAAGAAAGGTTGACTGATATTAAGGTCCTTATACAGCAAAAACCTCGACGAATTTTGAGCATGAAGGAGACATTTCACTGTGTGAGAAGTGCGGATATTATTTATTAATTTTGAGTGTAAAAGTGGCAACTCTTTGAAATTGTCCAGGGAAAAATTGTCATTCAGCTGAAATTGTTGAGCCAAGTTATTCCAGGCAGAGAACCATGATATTTTGGACCTTATGATTTCCAGCGCTGTACTCTTAGGAAGGCGGTAGTTAGGAAGGTTTAGGACCCTGCAGGCATAGGAAGTATGTAAATCATACAATCTGGCATGGCGACCTACTAAACGACACACAATCTACGCCATTTGTAAATTCCGCTCATTACAAAAAGTTTAATAAGTACATATTTTTAAAAAATTTAAGCAAGATGAATTGAAGTTGCGCTGGTGTGCGAGACGGTGAATTCACGTATCTGTTCCTTCCTCACTGAAGATGGCGCAGTACCGAAACATATTTGACTAGTTTAAAAAAAACCGCGAAGACGGACCAATAACCCCTATGCCGGCCCAGTATAATTTCAATTAAGTTTAATTTATACAGTTCAAAGGCCAATTTCATCCGAGATAATTAATACTCTAGGATTTATTTTTTTATAATAACGTTTTTTATAAATTACAATTAATTAAGGTTTTTAGTTGAGTTAAAAAAGTCAACGGCACGAGCGGGATTCGAACCCACGATCTTCGGCTAGATACGCCGCTGCTCTACCTCTTGAGCTATCGTGACTTCGATCGACTCGGACACTAACTTCCCACCTCAACCCCACCTTTTGAATTTGCCCTCCTTTTTGCCATTTTTTATAAATATATTTTATATTGCAGGACATTGAGACGTTCGATCTGGAAGATTTCAAATACAATTCTGTCAACATGACGGCGTTCCGCCTGGTCGACGTTGAAAACCCGAAAGTCTCCGATCTCCTTTTGCAGATGGAGAGGTTTCAACCAATAGGGCACGCCATACTCAACAAAACCGGCATTATCAAGGTAATTTTTTTTAACAAAGCCAAAAAATGAGGAAATATCAAAACATCAGAAGAACGGTTTGTTTATATTTTGTCAAAAAGCAGAAATACAAAAATGCATCCAACACAACATATTTAAATATCGGCCAAAACTGAAATTTAAAAACAAAACTGTGCCACTGTAAAAACATGCCATAAGAAAACAAATCCCGAACAATTGTTAACAATACCTTCAGTAAATATTATCTCGGGGTTGAGAGATGATCCATTAACCGGCTGAGCTACTGTGTGAAACCAAGGGGAAAGATGAATTACTCTTCATTCATAGGTCTTGGCATTATATTTTTGCAAAACACTGAACAATGCAGGTTAATTAGTGTTGTGTACAGTTACAAGAGAAGCTTTGACGTATTTTAATTTATACAGCTATTAAAGAGAATTAGGAAATATTTTTTAAGGCCAAAAATTTTTCTCTACGTTTTTTTGTAAATAATGTATAAACTTGTAAGAAGATTAAATTATTTTTTATAAATTAATTTTTTTTATAAATATTGTACGTTGATTAATATGGAAGTCTATGTACTGAGTCTATGTAATATATATTTCAAATATGCATGTAAAACTTTAGGCAAATTGATTTCTTAGATTTTTGTTCCTTTTTAAGTAGGATTGAATATGTAGTTCATATATTGCCTTATTTTGTGTTATAAATTTTATAATAAAATGGGCTATAAATTCTTCCATATTTTTTTAGCGGACATTATCTCGGATAAATTTCAATTAAGGATTACAAATTTTTATCGTAATAAAAATTGTTTGGGGCAAAGCGGCCAGATGTTTTCTACCGTCGGAACAATATTATTTTATTTGCACATACTTCCTTCCTTTTTAATTAAAACCCACCTGGCATTTCGCAATTAAAATGCCTCGCGTTTTAAAATTTATTGACGGGATTTTTGGGCGTTTCGTTGCAATACTACATATTGGCCATGGGTAAAGAGAGTTAAATCAATAATTGACCTCTGGACGTCCAAGAGGATAAAATTGATGGAAGATTTGGTTTTGGTTTTTATAAATTTTCTTCTCAACCTTGCATTGAATATATAAAATCAAATTTATAAAACAATAGAAGCAATAAAATAAAGGTTTTTCTTATGTCATTTTCTTTTAAGAAAAGGCACAAATAGTTAATAAACATTAAAAAATTAATGACTTAATACATTTTACTAACCCGCCACGAGGAATATCGACTACACTAGGGGAGAGAACGTGACCATTTTTGTTTCTTCGAGTGTAATTTTTATGTTGATTTATTTGAATTCGTGTAATTTATTAGCGTGAAAGTAATGGTTTGCTCAACCCCGCCCTGTGGAATATCGAGTACTCTGGGGGAGTGGAGGTACTCACGTTGTTATGTATTGTATGTTTCGTGTCTATTTTGTAGTTGACAACCTAAAGTATAAACAAAAGCTAGAAGATTACGATAGCGACGTAGTATACAAATAAAAGCAGAGAGACAGTAACCAAATCGCTGCAGTTGAAAACAAAATAGGCTATCTTAACTTTATAAAAAACAGTTCATGTTATGTTGATAAAGTGTAACTTAAGAAAAAAATTGTTCATAACTCGACCAACTAAGCGAACCATAATGAGAAAAAACAAATAACAACATATTCTTAACATTTAAATACTTCTATGGACACTATATGCATCTGTTCGTCGATTGTTGCAGAAAATGAGAATGTTCCCTTGCGGCAATCCCCCGTTCCATCATTAGTCTGTATATACAGTGACTTTCATAATTTATTAACAAGATTTGGATCATTGGATGATCAAGTCATCGCGTTTCTCTGTCTTTAGATGGCTTAAGATGAGTGAAAATCCTGCTTTTTCTCGAATGGAGGCTGAGTGTTTCTTAAAGTTAAATGCCCACGGCGGAAACATAAGTTTATGCCTGGGTGAGATAAATTTGGTGAGCGTGAATGGTAAGCCATGAAAAAAGCTAATTCAACCCTCTGAATGAACAGTTCTGATCCTTAAAAATTTTCCATCTCTAGTCCATATTATATATTATGACTTGTACTTTTATCTTTGACTATATGTTTATCATAAATAATAAAATACTATGTCTTTATAAAAAAACTCAACCAATATTATCTAGATTTTTAGTTTATCAAAAAAAACTACGGAAAAGTACATGTTTGTAAGAACATTTTTCATTTTTGCTACAAATTTCTGCTCGTTTTAAATCGGAAGTGAATAAACGTCCCACGGTATCGTTTAAAATGTCAAACGCAAGAGAACAACAAGCGAAAATGAGCACAATAATAATTCGGAAGGTGATACCGGTCTGGCTGGGATCCCGGAAATAAACTTGTTTCCGGGTTAGGGACACTTGGACCAATTACCGCCTGGGCAGGTCGTGGTAGACCGGGGTTGTCGTCAGAAAGTAATCGCCGGGGGGATGAAAAGTTCGAACTGGTCCCACTTGAGGGTAGCCCCGGGGGACACGTCAAATCCTCTTGTTAAACTTTCTCTGCCAACTCTTTCAACGAGCCTTTCTCCACCATCCAACTCACGTCCATCTAGACTTGTATTTCATTTTTAAAAAAATTATATATATATTTTAGATGGCCCGGCTGAATTTATCTTGAAACAATGACGCTATTTAAAAAAAGCAAAAAACTACGGAAAAGTACTGTTTGTAAGAACATTTTTCATTTTTTCTACAAATTTCTACGTATTTAATATTTTCTTACTGTAGTTTCGAATTTTGAAAAATTATACAGAATACTTCAGACCCAGTTCAACTTCAAAATTTCAAATATGAATACATCTAACACGATATTTTAATGGATTATTTACGCTGAACACAATTGTGCAATTGGATTTTAAATTGGTCAAAAAATGACGAAGTTAGGGCAAAAAGTTTGAAAAAATCACTAATTTGGTTTGCTATTTATTAATCACATTTCATGTTCGAACTGCCTGATGCAAAAATCAACTATTTTAGCCACTTTTAACAAGGGGTCAGAGCGATAGAGTCAGGGGATTGACAAGCATATCCTTTACTGCAGTTTTTCATTTGAGGTTGCCTGGGTTATGATTGGTGTAGACGCTGTGTTTTAAATGGCACCACATAAAATAGTCAAGTGGTCACCGAGGATGTCAACAGAACATTAGGTCTTCTATCCACCTACCCCAAATGGTACGATTCAAATAACGTCTCACCTGCAAATAATTGTGTCCGGGCATTCATTAAGCTGGAAAATCACCCTTTGTCGTTAATGCAAAGGAATATCATCTAATATTGTTGGTAAAACCTCCCTCAAAAAATGGAATAACTGAGCTCAATTTAAATCATTTTCGTAGAAATAAGGCCCAAGAAATTTATTTCCGAGAAGTTCGCACCAAACGTTGATGCTGTGAACCACCTGATGACACGTTGAAACGTTGAAATCTCGGATTTTTTCCTGCTCACGTACGAAAATTTCAACGATTTTTCACTAGAGATGAAATTGGATTCATCAGTCCATGAAAGAAGGTTTTCTTCAGCCTACCAAATTGAGATTTGTACTAGGAATGTTAGGCGCCTGTCATAATCGGAGTCCCGAAGTCCCTGGACAAGACGAGAGCGATACGGCTTAAAATTGTAAGTCAGGGGTACATCTCTAATTTTATTCTTTTTTAAACCTAAAACCCTTCCGACATTTCACAGTGAGGAATTCGGATTTTTGCGAACATACAATAAAATCCATTTAGGTTTTAGTGGTCAATTGTCCAAGTTAATTCTTTCAATTAATTATTCTTTCCATGTAAGGTCTTGGTTGAAATAAAATGGCAAAAAAGAGGGAAAGTTCGAACGGTTGTAGGTTGAGATGGAGAGTTAGTGTCTGAGAGGATCGAAGTCAGGATAGCTCAAGTGGTAGAGCGGAGTATTGAGCCGAAGGTCGTGGGTTCGAATCTCGCTCGTGACACTGATTTTTTTAATAGAGTAAAATATTCAGCTCCTCGTCGAAATTACGCTGCTGGTTTCTTGGTCTTGGAACTGCAACTGTTTTCCTTATCGACCGACAAGAATAAACGTTTCGTGGTCTACTCTGGAGTGATCAGGAAATTTCTGGGAGTACAAATATCAACATAACCATCAATACCACTATCAATAATACAGTCGTACAAATCAACTCGCTGTTAATCGGACAAATACGCTCATCGATTCATTTTGGATGGAATAGTGAATGTAAGGAAAGGAATAGGTACTACTGTAAATTTTATTAAATTCTATAATGCAAGTTTGACAAACAATGGCAGAATGGAAACATTAAAGATAATTAATATTTACTTTAGTAAAGCGGCAAATTATCGGAATTAACTACGAAACAACTTTCTGCCATTACGTGGTAATTTTTTGACCCATTTAAAATCCGAATGCACCATGTTTTCAACATAAAAGATTTTAAAATACTGTGTCAGGATGTATAGGGTCGTATTTGAAATTTTAAAGTTGAACTGGGCCTGAGGTACCTGTATAATTTTTTTCCAAAATGGTACAAAATGGAAACTAGAGATAGGATACTATTTACAATAGAATTAAAAATATGACTAGAAAACCAAAGTCATTGGGTCAACTTTAGAAATAATTTACGTTCTTGGTGTCTCTGTAATATGTTAACATAAGCCATTTTTAAGTCGTGGTTTGGATACAACCTCCATGGTTTGTCAGGGTTATAAACATGGTCAAACATAGTTTCTCAAAAAAATAACACCAAAAGAAGATAGTCCCGCCAGTGCATTTTTCTTTCAACCACAGCCTTTTGTTCGAATAATTTGCTATCCCTATTAAACATAAAAACGAAATAATAAATTAGCCTTGTACCCGGTCAAATTTTATGTTTTTCATGTAGCCACTCGTAAAATTTCTTAATAAGCCGTGCGGTGTGATGAACCTGTTTGATGAAACTCTTGGTCCGGCTATTCTCGCTGGTTAGTCTGTCGAAATCGTTTAGGCATTTCTCCACTTCT